ATTTATACTTTTTCCATCAAGAAATATCCACGTTAACTTTATTGTTACACAGTTATATTTTGTACACGTATAAGTATGGAATAGAATATACAATATACAAACAATATACATAACACGGAACAAAGTCGAAGACTGTGTTACTCGCCGGAAATATTCGTAATTTGAAAGAGGACATGATTTTCGAATGCGCAATTTTTCGAGAATAAAGCTCCAGCAGTCTCGAAAGGTGGATATAGCACGGATACGCACCACAAATTGTATACCCACGGTGCAGAAAAGTGAATGTTGTATGTAGTTTACATCTACTTCTTCAGGGGGCATTTTGAGATAACATGCAAAAGGCCGTCATGTCCTCTCTCAGAGGTTTCTCCCTGTTAACAGTATCTCGTCGGTGTCGAGGCACACGCTTCGAAAAGCGCATGCTTCCTATCTAAATGTTCGCGCGTCGTGACTGTTGAGAAGCGGCAACGTTTTCTGTCGGAGCAGCTGGAGGTGATATTTCGTAATTTGACATATCGATAATAATAAAATTTGTATTCGATAATGATAAAATTGTTGGTGAATAGCGATAACAATAAAGTAAAAATATATATATAATTAATAATATAGCGGGATAGCGGTAACAATGAAGTTTCACGAACAGTCATATATGATGCGCGAACATTTAGACGGGAAGCACGCGCCTTGAATATGCCCCGATATATTTGCGCGCCATATTTCTGTCTTTCGCTTTAAATTAATTGTGGAGAAAATAATAATGTTGAAAGTATAGTTTATCGAAATATATGTAAGATCATCTATTTATCATTCTATGTATAGAACACATATAGCTTTATTATTAAATCGATTATAAATTAAATGATTAATATGATATGATTTTTTTTTTTTTTTGGTTGATTTCTTTGTGAATACATTCGATTCTGTATTAGATTCTAATGAATTAAAGTTCCTTGTGTTGATTTCAGAGAGCGCCACAAATAGAATATATTTGGAGAAAAGTATATGTCAAATTGTAATATTGTGTAATCTGTCGCAGTTCGTTGACCTACTGTCCAAATTTTCTGGAGTGAATTTTCACTCTTTTGGAGTGAGATTCACTCCAGAAAAGTTAGAGAGTTAATTTATATTTAAAACGTAGAATCATGCCGTGATAGGAACAGTTGCGCGTAATAAAGAAGAAAAAAAGAAGTTTATGTATAGGAATATGGATGGTGTAGCGTAAAGGAAGATAGCGTATTCAAACAATTTCGGACTGCAGACATGACGTCGTGTTTTCTGCACGAGGAGGTCATCAGCGGGCAATCGTCGACGGAAGCTCATACGCAGAAGATTCTATGCGTGGGACGTGTTTGTCTCGACATCGTTCAAACGTGTGTGCAATTTCCATCGGAAGATTCCACTCAAAGGTCAGTAGCATAATATCGTTGATTTGTCTGCGGTTAATTCAAATATAAATTTACCGCGTGAGAACGTGGTGAGTCTATTGGTCGCGTCCTTAACTTATCGCGACCGCAGGTATCGACATTTAAATGCTTATACAAGATTACTTCAAGATAAACTTGATAGTATGATAAGCCCGCATTATATCTCATTATTTTATGTTATATGTTTTGACATTTGTTATTTTGAAATTAATTTTTATGCTTTATTAACATATAATTTTGAATATCTACACATTTGCATAATTAAATTTAAAAATAAACTTTTCGAAATCTCCATACAATTAATCCGCAAAAATAAAATAGAATTTTTCGGATCTTGCCGCAATCAAGCTCAGATCTTCGAATTACGCATCTAATTAATTAAATTTCAATTTGTAAACATTTTATTTCGCAAACTGTAAATTGAAAATCTCTTGGCTTGTAAAATAAAAATAAAACACTTGGGTTTTATCTTGGAAAACCAAATAATGCGGCTATTGATAAAATATATCTAAGAGACGAATTTAATTGCAATGTCAATAGTTTTGTTATTAGAAAAATGCTAATCAATAGCCTTCTTGAACTTTAATCATATATATCTTTGTATGGACACATAAATAACTTTCTTGCGTTAAATTGCATAATGCAGCATATATTCAGTTCGCATGTTCCATCTCTATATATTCAAGCATTACGATTGATTAATCAGCAAAATTATTCCATCTCAAATAAAAAGTCGGTCGGGATCGGTTGCTCGAAAATTGGAGTGACGAGTCCGTCGGTCGGGATGAAGAGTCGGTTCCAAATGAGCCATATAATTATATTGCAATATCTTTGTTTGCTTGTTTATTGACCTTTATTTCGCTAATTTCTATTTTATTCTAAAATAGTCCATATTCAATTTTTACTAAAAAATGGAAACTAACTAACTTAATAATTTATTTAGATAAGATAAGCTTTATATATAATTTTATTTATATGTTTTTAAGTATTTTTACAATTTATTGGAATAATCTTGCTGAATAATATATATCGTGATGCACGAATACCCTTAAGAAAAGGTATCCAAAAAACTGATTGCTATTATCAGTTACTGATACAGCAATCATTTTTTTGGAACACTTTTTCTTAAGAGTATGTAAAGAGAGCGATAGACGGAATACACAGACAGAATATACTTCGATATGCATACAATTTTACGTGAGAAGGCATTTGTGTTTCTGTGTATACACATTATATGTTGGAAATATCTTCTGCTTTTTAGGTTTTTATTTATAACAATAATATGCATGCAAGAATTAAAAATATGAAAATGTATATACTTTTCTTCGAAAGCTATTAAATATTATCAAACATTACCTTTCATCTTATAGTTAAATAAATAAATTTTATAGAACTGAATAAAGCAATATATAACGCTAATTTTTCGAAGTATCACAGAAGTTTTTTAATTTTCTCTTTCCATTTTTAAATTGTTTAAAAAAAAGATAGTTTATAATGTGTAATTTTTGCGAGTTTTCAATTTAGACATTTTTAATTTATCTTATGAATATAATTTTTAGATCTACTGATTATAGATGGCAAAGGGGGGGCAATGCATCCAATACTTGCACTGTACTATCATTAATAGGACAATCGTGCGAGCTTCTGGCTTGCTTGTGCGCAGATGATCATCTCAATTTTCTGCAAAATGATCTGCGCAAATATAAAATTGACTATTCCCATTGCCCTATAATAAATGACATTGGGTGTCCTGTCTCAACTGTTATACTGAGTTCAAGCACTGGGTCTCGCACAATTGTATATCACAATCGAGGCTTACCCGAGTTGACGATAAAAAATTTCGATGAACTGAATTTAGATGAATATAGCTGGATTCATTTTGAGGTGCGTCTCATAATGTTATAAGGAAATAATTGTACGCAAGACAATTGAATAATTTTTTTGTTTTTAGGGAAGACATATAGATGTAGCGTTACTTATGATGCAACGTATACAGACTTATAACAATTCATTAAATCGTACGTGTGATTCCGTTACCAAAAATCGCATGCCAATTACAATTAGTGTAGAATTAGAAAGTCCCAGAGCAGGTCGTAGAATATTGGATCTGCTGCCGTACGCTGACGTAACATTTGTAGCAAAAGATTTTGCTAAGCATCTGGGTTTTAGTAATATGAGCGAAGTAATACATAACGTCGGTCAAAACGCTAAGTAAGGAATACATCAATTAAACTTTAAAATTAATAATAAAAGCTGTATCAATATGACATTTGTTATATGAAAGAATTTGTTATATGAAATTTTCTTTTTAGAGGAACCGTTATTTGTGCTTGGGCGGAGGAAGGTGCAATCGCTCGTACTCCGTGTGGCTCGATAGTACAATCGTCAGCTTTTTCACCCCAGAAGGTGATTGATACCTTAGGTGCAGGTGACACATTCAATGCAGCTGCTCTGTACTATTTGAACAAAAGCAAAATTGAGGCAATGCACAAATACAAGAAAGAGACAGTTTGCACGAATGATGATATTAATCAAACGCAGGACATCTCTGATTATGGCACTGCAGTTGAACGAGATATTAAGGAAATTTTAGGTACAGGAAGTTTGGAATATAGTCGAGCGAAATTTATTAATGAAACAGTTCTGCAACAGGCTATTAAATTTGCGTGCCGCATTGCTGGCGCAAAAGTAGGATTGAGAGGATACGATTGTCTTGATGCAATTTCCGATGATATTTTACAATCGAATATTTTAGAACATTAGCAGAATGTGTTTTTATATTATTATGGGATTTTAAATAAGAACAACAATATAGGTACAATTTATACATTTTTTAAATATTTTATATAATAAAATATATATTGTCTACAAAATAAACGTATTTGTATACGCATATTTTATCTGTACATTATTTTTATGCGATATAAATCAAAATAATTATTACTTTATTGTTTTAATTAAATAATCAAATTGTATATTATATGTATATAAAACGAAAAGTACAATCAGAATATTTAGTGCGTAAAATCCGCAAGGACAGCTTAATAATTAATTCTATTACCGGATTATTATCGTATCGCCTAGCTGACGTTTTCTTACAATTTTGATGGTATTTGTAGTTGTTAAAAAAATTTTTTATTAAAAAACAAAAAAGTTAAAAATTATTAGAGAGAGTGTCGCTTCCTTAATAATCTTATTATGGGAGTGCTCTGCGCCGCTCCCCTGGCCAAGTCGGCGTCTATGTTTATTACATAGACTTAGTATTTATTACAAGTAAGAAAGAAAATGAATATGTTTTACATATTCTGATTGTTTTTGCTATCCACTGTTTTGATGAAAACTCAAAATAGTTAACTGAAATCAGACTTCAAATGTGCCAGTCTTTATCTAGATGATTTTAAAGCAAAAACAATTACGGAAGTGGAGGTCGCGAATTAAGAAAACTTCCGTGCAACAGATTAATGATGCGATTTATCAATGTGCAGCTCTGAACAGCCTTGCCAAATATACGCGCGATAACGGCAAAACGGAGTAATTATACCATCTCTTTCATTTTTGGTCAAAGTTAGAAATAAAATTAAAAATAAAATATACGTACATACCACGAGTAGCACTGATTGATAGTTGAGTTGAGATAGCCTGTTCAAATCTCGAGTCGCGAGCTAAAACATTATCATCTCTACTTTGTCTCGAGCGAGAGAGACAGACAATGAATAAACAAGGAGAGACGCTAGAGCTTTGCTTGAATTCGTAGCTCTAGCGTCTTAAATTAGAATATTAAAGGCTGGATCGTTTAAGTTTATAATAGTCTCAAACATTTATTTTATATAAAAAGTAGTTGTTGCCGTTGTTGGTTATATCACATAAACAATAAAAATAAGAATTGACACATTTTTTGAAGTAATATAATAATCTATAAAATAAAATTTATAAATTTTTAATTATTTTATTACTTTTTAATCATCTGGGTAGACACCAGAATCGATGAAATCTGTTACGCACTTCAATGCTTTGTCAGGTAATACTCTGAAAAAAAAAATTATTTTTACATCTATAATTATTAAACATTTTATATAAAAAATTTATAATTTCTATAAATTCTTATCTATAATTTCATTATAATTATAATTAGATATAAAAGTAATAAATATTGAGAAAATATTTAAAATAAAAGTTAAATTTTCATGATGGATATGAAAATAGTTATCATAGTACCTACGCAACAACGCATATTAGTAATATATTTACAGTGAATTGTGTCTACGGCTTATTGCCACATATTTAAAAATACATTGTGTATATTATGATTTAATTTTTATTTGCGGGATTTACGTACCTCATTATCTTAAAAAGGAGCATCCAATGTAAAGGTAAAG